AAAACATGATTTTGATGAATTGTTCCAATTCAAGCAATCCAACCTTCACCCACAGGCATTCAGGCAGTTAAACACTTAAGCAGTTAGCCTCATGGCAAGCATGCTATCATGGCAACATTTACACACATGCAAGATGCTAAAGCACAAACACTCACAGTGTACTCCGAGCCAAAAAAGAAGCTAGTTAGTAATCAATGCATGATCTTAGCTTATGTCAAGAATGCCTAATGCAACACATGCGAAATGCAACTTAGATAGGCTCAGCTTTTCTAAGAATGGCATATGAATGCAACTTGATACATATATTCAAATAGAAATTGAAATACTATGCAGTTTGTATGATGCGCCGAGCCCGGTGCATGCAATACAGATAAATGGGTGCACGCATGCGAAGCATAAGTATGCTATTCGAAATATGCCCTAAAACTAACCATCGTAAGTAGTTAAGTAAAAGGGAGAAAGAAATGGGGGTTGAAAGACATGCATCACACACACACACTTATTACAAAATTCCCTCTCTCGACGGACGGTCCGAATAGATACACTAAGCCAGCTATGTTAAGTTATTCTAACTGATCTAATAATCTAATTAGACTAATTATTACATAATCAAATTGAATAACTAGCCAACACTAAGCTAATTATTACAACACGTTAACTAATCAACAAATTAGCTAGTTTAATTACAAATTCAAAAGCTAACTAACAAGTAAAGCTAATTACAAATTACAAAGCCTCAGCTCAGTTCTAAGAGTTCGAAGATGCATGCTCGATCGCCTCGCTCGAAAATCCGTTACCATGCCACATGTTGCCTCTGTTTGCACACTTCTGCACCTCTGAAAACTATGCCAACTTCTATGGTGCTTCTGACCTACCTTAAGAACCATCTGAGGGGTAGTCGTCCAACAGGTGTGGCCATCGACCAAAGAATAATGGTCATCGACCAATTTTAAGGCTATCGGCCAATTTTTGATAGCCGATTGGCATACTAAGTGGTCGATCGGCCACTGCTTCTTGCAAATTCCTCCTTTTGCTGCAACAGAGCACTAACAGAGGCATGGCAATGTATTTGCAAGAAAATGTGTGTGCAACCACACTCCTTATCATGTTCAAAGCTCAAAGGAGTGTAGTGCTCGACTCTCGAGCCATCAATCACTCATTTCAATGCATGATGACCAAAGAGGCCGAGTTGCACAAGTCAATGTTTAATGAATGCACACAAATAACACATAAGACTCGATGAACCTCCACCTTATCATGTATGATCAAAGGCGTCGGTGACCTAAGGAATGAGGCACGTTTCATCACTTTGAGTATGAAACGTCCCTCGTTCCTCGTGTTTGGATTGACGTCCAACCCAAACAAAATGCAACACATAACATGCTAACAACATGAACATGGCAAGGGCTATGTAATGCAATACTCAATGGACCAAACTAACCCCAAACTAACCTTATGCATGCCAAAACAGTGGCTGAGATGCTCTGAAATGCTAGCATTAAAAGCAAGAAAATGCATGCTCATGTATTGGCCTATGAACTAGGCATAAGGGTCAACTCTCAAACACAATTAAGAAGTGACAAATGTGAGAAGTGTGACAACACCATAAGCTCTAAAATCATGTATGAAATGATGCCAAATCATTCAAACAGCTCAAAGATAACATGTTAGAAGGCTCAAAGCTTGAAACTAACATAGGCACTTGCACTACAGCTATACAAGGCAAGCCTCAAAAGACCAAGATGATCCAAAGCAGTCCTAAAACATGTCAAAACAATGCTAGAAACCTGCATGGAATAGAGCCAAGACAAACTAGCACGAAGGCATGAAGCATGGAGTATATAAGGCCAATGAGGAAGGTTACACTACACCCACCAAGACCAAACATGAGATAACTTTACCAACAAAAATTAGAGTTGTGTCATGGCAAAACAACACCAAAAACACACTGATATGGCAGCCAAAATGCTTAGGCATGCATGCATATATACATATTGGCTCATGGACAAGGCATAAAGGCACAACTCTTAAACACAATTAAAGAGTGATAAACATGAGAATATGGAAAAGATATAAGCTCTGAAATTCCATGCCAGATGATGCCAAGACATGCAAGCATCACAAGTATAGCATGGTAGGTGCCTCAAAACTCAAGACTAGTCAAGGCATTTGCATTGTAGCTATACAAAACATGAGTCATATGACCAAGGAAGCCTAAAATAGTCCTAAAATAGCCCAAAATATGAATAAAATCATACTGGAGTATAGCCAAAATGAGCTAGAATAATAAGCTAAAAAGACAAGCATGCAAGGCTAGCTAGTAAGGATTACACCACAAGTTTATAAAGCATGCAAGAGGTGAGTCCACCAATCAAAATTAGAGTTATAACATGCCAAAATAACACCAAAAACATGTTTGAACTAGGATAATTCAAACCACAAGAGCATGCTACTTTGTTAGGCTAACAAGGCTAGCAAAGAGGATTTACACTACAAGTGCATGAAGCATGCAACCCATGATCAAACAAGCCAAAAACAGAGTTATTCCATGTTGAAATAAGCCCAAAAATAAGCTAAGAACAAGCCAACACATGCTAGAAAAACATGCTCAATAATTAGGCCATCAAGGCATACAACCAAGACAAGAGGAGAGGGGACCACCCCCTCCCATTTTGAACCTCAAAACCACATTTTTACCACTGAAAATCCATTGGATTTCAGTGGTTAAAAGGCCAAAAAAAGATGGTTTTAAGAGCTTAGGAAGTTGGCTCTAAATGCTTTACAAGTCAAAGAGCAAAAAGAGAGACAACCCCCTAGCCAACCAAGGCACAAACCAACACTTTTAGGATTGAAAAATAGAGGAAAAATAGGGGGTTTTGTAGTTCAACACCACCCCAAAAACACCCCCAAAGTAGTGTGAAAAGATGGCCAAGCAAGCATGCAAAATAAGCTAAAAGGGAGAGAGTTCTTACCCTTGATGCACGGCTACAAAACAACCTCTTTCCTGGCTCAAATGACCTTCCAACAGCCCAAAAATAAACTCTAAGGGACCTCAGCCCATAGATATGAAACTTTGATGAAGGATGCCTAGGCAAACTAGTTGTATTTCTCTACTTCTATGCACTTCTATGCACCAAAGGGCAAGAGAGAGAGGCTTTAGAGAGAGAGGCAGAGATTTTGCTCTGAAAATTTTGTAGAGAGAGAGGGAGTTTAGTGAGAGAAGCTCTCAAACTTGTTCAAGAAGTTCTAACCTTTCAAAAATATGAGATATAGGTTCATATATAGCAATTCAAGAGCTTTTGGTCGAAAATATCTGAGTTGGGACAGCTGGAGCTTGCTGGAAACAGCTGGAGATGAAATATCTTCAAAAATTTTGAATTTGTGTCACTCTTGGCAGATTGGCCATTTTTGGTGCCGATTTGCTACTTGTGATGGCCGATCTGCTACTTTTTTGGCCGACTGTGCACATTTGTGGCTGATAGGAAATTCTACTTTGCAGGTCCAACTTCAAATGGGTATAACTCCTTCATATGAACTCTTTTTCAGGTCATTCTTGTGCCCAAATTGAAGCCTCAGAAGTAAAATTTCCAATGGTGGCAGCCTTGCATCAAAATTATAACTGTGAAAAAAGTTATGCCTGTTTTGGTGAAGCCGCGCAGTTTCCATCCCACCCAGATTTATGCCGAACTTCTCCTCAACTAGTTTTCTTCTCTCCTTTCCTCTTTTCTTCAACTCCAAACCCCTAAACAAGGTGTTTTGAAAGTTTTTTCAAATATTTCATCTCTCATTCATTCATTTCCACTTTGTCCTCGCTCGGTTTACCGAAAAGCGCAACATTTAACAAAATGCAAGCGTCGGAACATCGTAGAATCATTTTTACAAAATATTTTGAAAGAGAGGGTTTTAAGGTCTAAAAACCATTCAAAATCGGGTGTAAGGTTGGGATTTGACTTTCTCTTTGCCAAAGAAACCGAACCTTTGCACTGCACAACTTTCAACACCAAGTAAACCATCAGTAATGCCCAAGTCTTAAGGGCGGTCAAAAATGGGGTGTCTACAATGCGTTTCCCAGTGGTGGCCTTCATTGAGTGTGGACTTAGGCTCCCACTCGATATCCTTTTTTGATAAGTCCTTCACTACTACAAATTGAACCCAATGCAACTTGCCATTAACTCCTACCGAGTTATTAATGGTATAATTGCCTTAGCCAAAAGAGAGAATGCTAGGGTTACCCTCGCCGACATCCAATACTGCTACACCATGTATGGCCTTAAGTCAGAAAAAAGTTACATCTACTACCTTAAGCCGAGGTCGACGGAATACAAACTCGTTACCGACCTTCCAAACTCAAACAAGGGTGCTAGAGACGATTACTTCATTGTCTCGGGCAACTAGGAGTTTCAACCAGATGATGACCTTCACCTCTATCCCCTAAGCCAAACAGTTTTCAGAGAGGGAGATGGTAAGAGCCAAGTGTCACATTTTCTTGCTTTCAAGTCTTTCTTACTTTGATACTTTTGTATGTTCTAACCTGTGTTTGTTTTGTCTTTGCAGCTCTTCCTCAACTCCCGAAGGACTTCCACAAAAACTACTATCCCAGTAAAGATTTCAAGAAGCTGCTGGACTTGCCTGCTAATCAGCGCAAGTCTCCTGTGCTCCTGAATTTCATCCCAACCTATAGATCGACTTTGCCCGACGTCCCCAAAAAGAGCAAGTCCCCTCATTCTGCTACAACTCCTGCTACGACTTCTTCACCTCGCCCAGATCAAGGATCAACCTCGGCTCTAGCAGACCAGCTATCTACTTTAGTTCCTTAATTGATTCCACCCTCTCAGCGTCAACGCTGATGTCGAGCGCCACTTTTTGCACCAGTAGGCAGGACCTGTAGCTGAAGACGCCAAAGCGCCGAGGCGTCCTCTTACGATCCAACCAATCCACCAATAGCTTTACCAGCAATCCGCCTTGGCACTAGAGTTACTGTTGCCATCTCCTCCGACGAAATGGGTCTCAAGAAGGCAGTTGTTGATGATCTTCTGGCCGACATCCCGAACGTCACTATCGTCCAATCTCCATCTTCGCAATCTCTGCCGAAACCAAAGCCAAAAAGGCTGAAGAAAGCCCAAGCTAAGGAAACGGTAACTCAGATTGACACTGAGGATACTTTGCCAATTTCAAAACTGGCCGAGAGTGAGAAGTCCTTCTCTTCCGCCGCCGAGAAGAGGCCCGCCGAGGCCGAACCATCAGAATCCACCAAGTCAAAGAGGCCGAGGTAGGACTCTGTGGCCACCTCAGGTTCTCTCAAATCCGATGCCCCCTGGGCCCCCTCAATCACAATTGAGGACAAGCCAGTCAGAGCTGGCGACAGCGCCGATGACATCGAAGTTGGCGTTGCCCTCTCTACTGCCTTGCTCCTTCCCAATGACCTCAACCGCAACGCCGAGGTCAACGAATATGAAAATTTCGCCCTGATGCCGTAGCACTCCGTAAAAGTAAGCCCCTAACACTTAATACTTTTCATCCTCTGTTTTTCCATACTTAGTAAAAATTACTAACTTCTGTTTTATCCATTTCTTCTAGGCGATTCAGCATGCCGACTCCTTCGCGATGCAAGCTTTTGATATCAAGAAGGAGTTGGTTAACAAGACCAAGGAGGCTGCAAGTTTGCTGAAAATTGTCAATAAGGCCGAGGCCAAGATGAAGACACTGATGGATCAGGCTAAGTTAGCCAAACAGGCCCAAGAAGAGGCCGATGAGAAGGCAGGAGCTGCTGAGGCCGTCGCTAAGGTCCTTGAGGTTGAAAAGAAAGAGGCCGAAGCGAAGACCGCAGAGGCCCAGGCCGAGCTCATTGTTGCCTTAGCCACAAAAGAAGCCGAGATCAAAGCGGCGGATGAGAAGGCGTTTGCCGAGGAGGCGGCCGACGTCAAAGAAGACTATAAGAAGCAAGTGAAGCAGGCATGCAATAAGGGTTTCACCCTTGGTTGGATGGCTGCTTTAAAAGAGTTGGCTGTCCCCGAGGATTCTCCTCTCAAGAATGCTAGCAACCTCGTTCCGCCATTCCATCACTCTCCAAGCCAGTCTGAAGACGAAGCTGAGTCCGAGGATCAGGCTGAAGCCGAGAAGAATGAAGAAGCTGCTGGGGCCAAGTCCCCAACTCTGAATGAGCAAGTCTTGGACTTGACTCAGGATGAGGAGGATAAGGTCTCGAAAGACGCTATCCTTGAAAAGACAACATCTGACGTGCCTATCGCCGAGAAGAGCATCGACTAGACTCTTCAAGAGATCGATGCCGAGCTCGCGGCTGAGAAGGCTACTGAGAAGGGCTCACAATTGTCTTCTGAGGTTGGGACACAACCAACTGTTGGCACCGAGTAGTCCATTTTGATGCTTTCTTTTTTATTTCTTATACCTTGTACTTTTTTCCTTACTTTTGAAACAATGTTAGCTTTAATTTGGCCGACGTGCCACCTTTGTAACCCGAACAAGCAATCTCTTTGTCAGGCCGAAGTGCCATTTTTCTTCTTTTAATGCAAGTACAGCTTCCTTTTGCTTTTACTAAGTGTCTGAATGCTTGTCTATCTTGTATACTTCCATACTTAGAATATTTTGCATGTTTTCAATGCACACCTTGACTGTGTAATCTTCTCGATGTGGAATACTTTGGTTATACCCGCTAACAGTTTATCTCGGCCTTGGCCTAACACTTGAAAATATTTTGTATAATATTTTCACAAGTGTTATTTACAACTTGCCACTTCACTTTTTACTTAACAGGACTTCTATCTTCAAATATCTTCCAAGTCTTGACAACATGGTAATCTCGGCAAGTACATAAGTACTTCTTTCAATACAACCTTGGCTTAACTTGTAAACTTTTCTCAAAAATTTCAACAAGTGTAAAACTAATCTTCCTTTAATCATAACATCGGCTTAACTTCAACTTGTAAATTTTTCCTAAAATTTCAACAAGTGTTAAACCAATCTTAGCTTGTAAATTCCAACTCCCAAGCATCATTCTCCAGCCCTTTGCTACCTGATGTGAACTTAAGTTCCACTTGGGTTCTCATTAAGCATGTGGCTTTGACCTCGTCGCCGAGGTAATATTCAAACAAAGACTGGCCAAGGTTTACCAACCTTGGTTCTTCTGTTAATCTTATCAAAATGCCATTAATTTCAATCTATGTTTGACTCTGCTTATATGGCAAGTCCAAGTTAACTCAACTTAGTTCAACTCTATTATATACAAGTATAATTCAACTCTGCCATATATAATAAGTCTAAGTTACTCATCATGTTTCAATCAGAAACATTGCCAACTTAGTTCAACTCTATTTTATACAAGTATAATTCAACTCTGCCATATAATAAGTCTAAGTTATTCATCATGTTTCAATCAGAAACATCGCTAACTTAGTTCAGCTCTATTATATGCAAGTATAATTCAACTCTTCCATACAATAAGTCTAAGTTATTCGTCATATTTCAATCAGAAACATCACCAACTTAGTTCAACTCTATTATATGCAAGTAGAAACTCTGTCATCTAATAAGTCTAAGTTATTCGTCATGTTTCAGTCATAAACATCGCCAAGTGACTGGTCAGTCATACTACACAAGTTTAAAAATCAAGCTAAGACTTTATTATTACTTCGGCTAATAACAAGAAACTTAAAAAACAAAAAATCTAATGATAGAAAAACTTCAGATTGCAAGTATTCCAAGATCTTAGCAACTCTTTGCCTTCACTATCTTCAAGCCGATATGCCCCATTGCCTAGAACCGAGATGATTCTATAATGTCCCTCCCAGTTTGGGCCAAGCTTGCCTTCTCTAGGATCCTTCTTGTTGCCGACGACCTTTTTTAGGACGAGGTCCCCAACTTAGAATTCTCGTGGGTTAACCTTCTTATTATAAGCCCTGACAAGCTGTCGCTGGTATGACCCCAGCTGAATTGCTGTCTTCTCAATTTTTTCTTCTAGTAGGTCCAGATCTCGAGCTAAGAATGCATCATTAGCCCCATTCTCCACTCCCTGGGTTCTGATCCATGGGATGCCGACCTCTAATGGGATTACTGCCTCTGTGCTAAAAGCCATGGCACATGGGGATTCCCCGGTTGATCTTCTCGGCATAGTCCGATATGCCCAGAGTACACTAGGTAACTCATCAACCCACCTTCCCTCAGTATGGCTGTTGTTATCTTGGCTAACCTGCTGTAGTCAGCAATTCTAGAACAAGGCTACCAGTCTGCCCACCTCTTTTACATAGGCCGACATCTTTTCATCTCGGACTGCATATTCACCTATTGCCTGGTTGACGATAAGCTGAGAGTCACAGAAGATTATTACCTCGTCAGCTTCCATTGCTACTGTCAACTTTAATCCTGTGATCAGTGCTTCATATTCTACTTCATTGTTTAAGGCTTTAAACCCCAAACGAATGGATTGTTCCAGTAGCTGCCCATCTGGAGAAAGTAGCACTACTCCTGCCTCCACTCCTTGTCGGTTTGAACTTCCATCAACAAACAGCCGGAAGGAGTTACCGATGTAAATACTTCATGGCCTGAGTTTCTCTTCCTTCCTTTGTTTGGCTATCCCCACTTGGGTTTTTCCTTGTTCTCCTAGACCTCGGCTCCACGGAGTCTGATGTATGATGGTGCCTGGTGTGAACTCGGCCACGAAGTCGGCCAAAACTTAGCCTTTGATTGCTGTTCTGGGTCTGAATTCCAGGTCATATTGGCCCAACACCACTGCCCATCTGGCTATTCTGCATGTTAGATCTCCCTACTGCAACAAAGACTTCAAGGGATGCTCAGTTAACACCACAATTTTGTAGGCTTGAAAGTAATGATCCAGCTTCTTGGAAGCCATTACTAAGGCCAATGTTAGCTTCTCCAAGGATAGGTATCTGGTTTCAACATCAGCTAGGGTTTTGCTCACATAGTAAATTGCCCTTTGCTCTCCATTTTCTTCTCTGATTACTACTGCACTCACTGCATGCTCTGAAACTGCTAAGTATAAGAACAACTCCTCTCCAGGTACTGGATTTGAGAGAACTAAAGCTATGGTCAAATACTTCTTCAAGTCGGTTAAAGCGACTTTGCACTCTTCTGTCCATAAGAAGTCTGTGGCTTTCTTCACTAAGCTGAAGAAAGGTTTACATTTGTCAGAGCTTCTGCTTATGAATCTATTCAGGGCTGCAGCCCTTCTAGTCAACATCTGTACTTGCTTTGCCGATGTTGGGCTCTCTAACTCCAAAATAGCCTTGATTTGATTGGGGCTGGCCGTAATGCCCCTTCTAGTAATCAAGTATCCTAAGAACTTACCAGACCTAACTCCAAATGCGCACTTTGATGCATTGAGTCAGAGTCGATATGTTCTAAGGATGTCAAAAACTGCCTTTAAGTCTTCTAGATGATCCCCATATTCCTTGGTCTTCACGACCATGTCGTCTATGTATACCTCCACTGTTCTGCCTATTAGATGCTTGAACATCTTGGTCACCAATCTCTGGTAAGTTGCTCCTGCATTTTTCAACTCAAATGGCATCACTCTGTAGCAATACAACCCTTTTGGGGGTGATAAATGCAGTCTTCTCCTCATCTGGGGGGTACATAGTTATCTGATGGTACCCCTTGTATGCATCCAGGAAGCTCATCCTTCCATGCCCTGAAGTGGCATCCACCAATTGGTCAATCTTGGGTAGTAGGAAACTGTCTTTGGGACAAGCCTTGTTCAGGCTGGTGACGTCTACACAGACCTTCCACTTTCCATTCTTTTTCTTCACAACCACCGTGTTTGATAATGATGTCGGGTAATTTACCTCTTGAATGGCCCTGGCCTCTAGAAGTTTATCTACTTCCTCTTCTACTATCTCGACATGCATTAATGTCGGCCTTCTTGTTCGCTGGATGACAGGTTTAGCCAACCTGTCCACATTTAGTCTATGGCAAGTTACCTCGGGGTCAATGCCAGGCATCTCATACGGCGTCCAAGCAAACACCTCAATGTTTGCTCTCAAGAATGCCTCTAGCTCTTTTTCCTCTTCCTCGGCAAAGCCCAAGCCAAGAAGGAAGAAGCGCTCTTCATCCCCTTGCTAGACAAGGATTTTCTTCAGGGCTTCCTTACTCTTCTCGGTTGGCTCTTTGCCGACGTCATCTAGGACATCCATGGTCTCATCTTCAATCTCTACGGCTTCTGCTTCTCGTATGTTGCAGGTGGATTTCATTACTGCCATGGAGCAATTCTTTGTCTGCAGTTGATCCCCTCTAACCTCCTCAATTCCATGCTCTGTTGGGAATCGCAACAGCTGGTGCAATGTTGAGGGAACAGTTACCATTGCATGTAGCCATGGCCTTCCCAAGATAGCATTATAAGAGGAGGAAGTGTCAATTACTATGAACTTAGTTTTTATTTTCTTGGTGCCAGCCTGCACCTCCAAACTAACTGCTCCCAGGGGCCATGTCGGCGTTCCATTGAACCCGACCATTGGACGATTGGATTGTTCCAGATCATCTTGGTGAAGGCCAAGCTCCTTGTAACACCTGACATACATGATGTCACAAGAGCTGCCCTGGTCAATTAAGATGCGCTTTACTTAGCATTCTTCAATCTGGAGGGATATTACCAAGGCATCGTTGTGTGGGTGTTGTACTATCTCCAGGTCGTCTTCTGTAAAGGATACCACTGGTCCTTGGCACTCGTCTGCCCTAGGTCTTTTCTGCCGAACCTGGTACACATGCTGCAAGTGTTTTACCTTTTGAGTCTCCCCGCGTATTTCGTTCTCATTGACCTTCGAGTGAATCACATTGATCACTCGAGGTCCGGCTACTTGCGGTTGTGGTGCCAGAGGAGGCGGTGCTACCGGTGCCTGAGGCAGTCTTGCTTGCTCTTCCCTTGTCCTGGCCTCGTTTACAAGGTCCCTTAAATAACCTTGTCTTACCAGGTCTTCCAAATGTGCCTTCAGGGCTCTGCACCCATGAGTCAAATACCCATCTTCATTATAGTTAGCAGAGTGCTTGCCCAGGCTTCTTCCCATAAATTCGCCTGGAACCCTTACTGGTGCTCTGTAATAGGGTTGATTTCGAATTTTCTCCAAGACTTTGTAAACCAAGATTCGGAATACAGTTGTGACTGCCTGCGTAGCCCTTAATCCCGTTTCCAGCTTATTGTGTCCGCCATTACCTCGGCCTCGCTTCGGCGAGCAATTTCCCTTCTCTTGTTTCGACGCCTTTGTCCCCGGCGTGTCCTCCTCGGCCCTCGCATACTTCTCAAT